GATGAATTGCATATATTGCAAGCAGACTATTTAATGTGGTGCTATGTACAGTATAATGGAGAAAGCATTTATACAAATCCATCAACCATAATGTATCTCCTTCCTGTCTGCAGTGTGAGATGGACGGCCGATTAAAAAAGATGAAATGGCGGTATTAAAAGGGCATACATTTTTAACATTTTTCCAAGATTTTCAAACAAAAAAGGTTTCAGCTTAGCTCTCCGGAACTGAATAACTGCAGCTTTAGCTTTTATGAAATGATGAAATATTGTTAAATAAAGGTTATAGCCCTTGAAGGTTTAAGCAGTATTAAGGCATTATTTTTCTGTTAAAAAAAATAAATTCCAAACCAATTAAAATATATAAATAATAAAAAAATAATATAATAAAAGCTAGTACACCACTTATAGCTGATGTTGCAGTATTACCCTCCTATAAGAAGAAATTATCTTTTTCCAAAGATAAATACAAAGGTTAAATGGGGAATCTTTTTATTGACTGACAGACATCAGATCTGTAGACAATCTGTTCTAGGGCTGCAGTTTTCTTTCTCTTATACTTTTTTTCATGGTGATGATGTTCCTATTAATGTATCAGGAATGTGATGTCATCTCTGTTAATTATTGGGTTTCATCAGCAGGTGTCCTGCATACACTGGTGGTGTGGCTGCCCACAGGAGTAAGGAGAAAATTGCTACTATTTCAGTCAGGCTGATGTTAGTTGTTACTAATGGTAGGAGTGCATAAGTGCTACAGGTTCTAAATAGGTAGCGGACACTGTATTAATCAGTCTCAGACATTTTGTTCAGTGTTATCCTGCAATATACTCATCTTGTGTTATTTTTCTCACATCCAAATTAAATTTTTTATCAAATACATTTTTATACCAACACGCATACAGATACACAGACATACAGATACACAGACAAACATGTATAAGTGTTTGTTAGTAAAGTGAATGTGGGGTGTGTTTTTTTTATAGTGTATGTAGTTTGTGTTTGTATAGTGAATGCAGTGTGTTTGTATAGTGGATGCAGTGTATGTGCTTGTACAGTGGATGCAGTGTGTGTGTGTGTGTGTAGTTGATGCAGTGTGTGTGTAGTGGATGCAGTGTGTTACATAGTTACAAAGCTGAAAAGAGACTTGCGTCCATTAAGTTCAGCCTTCCTTACATTTGTTTTTATCTGTTGATCCAAAAGAAGGCAAAAAAAAAAATCCAGTTTGAAGCACTTACAATTTTGCAACAAACTAGGAAAAAAATTATTTCGTGAACCCAGAATGGCAGTCAAATTTATCCTTGGATCAGGCAGCTATTAACCAACATTGAAAAATTATATCCTTGAATTTTCTGTTTTTTCAAGTATGCATCTAGTTGCTCTTTGAACATCTGTATGGACTCTGATAAAACCACTTCTTCAGGCAGAGAATTCCACATCCTTATTGTTCTTACAATAAAAAAAACTTTTCTTTGCCTTAGACGAAATCTTCTTTCTTCCAGTCTAAATGCATGACCTCGTGTCCTATGTAAAGTCCAGTTTGTGAATAGATTTCTACACAATGGTTTGTATTGGCCCTGAATATATTTGTATAATGTTATCATATTTCCTCTCAGGCGATGTTTTTCTATACTAAAGAGGTTTAAATTTGTTAACCTTTCTTCATAGCTGATATGTTCTATTCCTTTTATTAATTTTGTAGTCCGCCTCTGCACTTTTTCAGTGCCATAATATCCTTCTATTTTTAATTGTTCTACCCAAGAACAAGATTTTTCATCTAGACCGATTTCTTTGAACACTAAGTAATTGGGTATAACTGTATCAAATGCCTTGGCAAAATCCAAATAGATCACATCCACTGCAACACCCTGATCTATATTTCTACTTACTTCTTCGTAGAATGTTTTTTGCTGATAACCATGTTCTTCTCAAGGTATTCTTGAATATTATCCCTTAATAAGATTTCAAATACTTTTCCAGTCACAGAAGTTAAGATCACAGGTCTATAATTTCCAGGCAAGGATTTTGAACCCTTTTTGAATATAGGAACCACATCTGCCTTCCTCCAATCCTCCAAAACACTTCCTGAAAGAAAAGAATCTTTAAAGATTAAAAACAGAGGTTCACTTATTTCTACACTTAGTTCCTTAAGTCCTTAAGTACTCATGGATGAATACCGTCAGGCCCTGGAGCTTTGTTTATATTATCTTTCTTTAGTTGCTGCAGCTGTGTGTTTGTGTATTGTATGCCGTGTTTGTTTGTGTACGGTATGCTGTGTGTGTGTGTGTTTGTATGTATATAGTCTGTGTAGTGTATGTATAGTGTATGCAGTGTGTGTATATTGTATGCATTGTGTGTGTGTATGGAGTGTGTGTGTATAGTGTATGCAGTGTGTGTGTGTAGTGTGTGTAGTTTGTGTGTGTGTATAGTGTATGCAGTATATGCAGATGCAGTGTGTGTGTTGTGTGGAATAACTGCTAGGAAGGTGAGCAGTGTGTATTGTTTGGGCCCCCCACCCCCGACACTTACTTGGGCACTGCCCCTTCCTGACACTTACTTGTGCCGCTTCCCCCCACAAATCTTACCTGGGTTCCTCCACTATGACTTTTCTTTAAAGGACACATACAGATTCTCTTTTATAAAGAAGCAGGAACAGTATTAGCCAAGTACTGCCCATACTCCCTGATTAGGTAGGATATATACACCTCCTCATGGTATAACAATTGCAATATGGGGACAGGTTAAGTGAGACCTTGGTATGGGATGAGATGTTTAATGGTAATAAAAACCCTCTCCTTCCTAAATGTTGTGAAATCAATACAATGATTTACATACAAGCAAAGGAAAGAAAGCAATAACCCTGCCACACCTTTGTTATTACACGTTAAAAAGTGGAATCTAAAAGCATACGTCAAAATCTTATAAAAAATAAAGAACTGGCAGAAACTACCAGTATTATATCAGGAATCCACCCCCTCCCCTCATCTCTTACCTGTGTCCAGGGAGGGGGGACACTACATTCCCTGGTGATCTGGTGGCACAGAGAAGAGGGGCATAGGACTCTCCACACACGTTTCACATCCAGCAGCAGCAGGCCCTCTGTTCTTGCGATCCGCGGCATGCTATGGCAACCCACAGCTACGCTCTCGCACATTGCGAGAACAGAGGACCTGCTGCTGGATGTAAAACGAGCACGGATACTCTTGTAAGCGGCCCCTGTGAAAGTGCGCCCAGGCACCCCTTTAGTGAGAGGCACCTGGGGTGGACCACCCCTATACCACTGGTGTAAGTGGCACAAGAGATAAGGGAAAGGTGTATTTAATATGCGGGGAAAAGTAGGTTGCTAGAATAGTTTACAGTGAAGGCTTAGTACAAACACACAACCCCCTTCATTGTGCACAGGATAAAATGAGTAATATGATGTATAGCTTGTAATTAAATTGTGTGAAATTCAGAACAACAATCTAGAACATATTTTTTCATGCAAAAATTACACAATCATGAACAGACACCTTATTTAATCTTGAAGAAACAGCTGCAGCAAAGTATAGTTCCCTAATCAGAGAAACATAGAAACATAGAATGTGACGGCAGATAAGAACCATTCGGCCTATCTAGTCTGCCCAATTTTCGAAATACTTTCATTAGTCCCTGGCCTTATCTTATAGCTAGCCTTATGCTATCCTTATCTTATAGCTAGCCTTATGCCTATCCCATGCATGCCTAAACTCTTTTACTCTGTGTAAAGGATTTCCTTGTGTTTACCTGTACCTATTCGGTTATTTCCTCTCCCTGCGAGTTAAGTGACTATAAAGTATTCGTTGTTATTTCTGTGTTCGGTACATTTATTTGTTCTACTGAACGGAGACCACCCTGGGTAGCAATCAGAACTTAGAACAAGTAACCCTCAAAAACACGCAAGCTAATCGAGTGCTGCTAGGTGGCCGCCATTCAGCATACAAACATGTGGCGAGAACAAAGGATGGCGGCCATCTTAGATCTCCCGAACGCGGTCAGCGGGATTGACTCGTGGATTGCCTGGAACCATTTTTGGCATGGCAATCACACGAACACCCGGTCTCTATGGAAGTCCCGTCTGACCGATTTCCACTTACATCAAACTGGCGTTCGGGAGTTTCAATCAACCAAATGAGGGGAGCATTCATATGGAACCAGATGCCGTATAACTGTGGTAGTTTTCATGTAATTCCGCACGAACGGAGATAGGCTCTTGCTACCAATTTCATGGCACGCCGGTCAAACTTCCACACGATGCAACACAAAAACTACTGAACAGATTTTTGTGCAATTTGGATATGTTACTCCTAGTATTTTTATATTTCTATGACATGTATAAAGTATATTTTTAAAAATGTGGAAAATTGTTAATGTTTCTGGTCAGCAGATAATTGAGTTTAGTATGTTGCTTAAACTCAATTATCTAGCCTGGCCCAGAGGAGGAGCTTGTACTGTATAAATTTAATGCCTGTTGCTTCCAGTAAATCAGTCTTGTTCCAGCATTAAGCTTTGGCTCATGTGTGGATTATTTGGCGATACCAGCGTTATTTTACCCTGTGGATTATTGTTGTTATTCTGCTATTGGGAAAAAGGGAAAACTGGACGGTGATACAGCTTACTACCATCACACTGTGTTAACCTCTACCACTTCAGCATGTAGTGGTAGAGGTTATACTTCCTGATATTATTTTTAAACCTTTGCCCCTCTAATTTAAGACGATTTCCTCTTGTTGTGGTAGTTTTTCTTCTTTTAAATAGAGTCTCCTCCTTTATTGTGTTGATTCCCTTTATGTATTTAAATGTTTCTATCATACCCCCCTGTGTCGTTTTTCCTCCAAGCTATACATGTTCAGATCCTTTAACCTTTCCTTGTAAGTTTTATCCTGCAATCCATGAACCAATTTAGTAGCCCTTCTCTGAACTTCTCTAAAGTAACAATATCTTCTGGAGATATGGTCTCCAGTACTGCGTACAATACAAAGAAGAATGGAGAATGGGGGCATCGATCCCACCACCTCTCACATACTAACCGAGCGCTCTACCCTTTGAGCTAATCCCCCATGTAGTAAGAGTAGTAAGAGTAGTAAGAGTAGTAAGAGTAGTAAGAGTAAATTAATGACAAAAAAGAAACAATTAGAGAAAAACAAATTGTGCAATAATCCTACTGCATGTCACAACATTAGTACGGGAAAGGGATAGAATCAAATAAGACTCTTAGGAAATAATAAGTCTAGCTCATGAACCCAGAATGCAATATCTCCCAACATGTCCTGGGTTTGGAGAGACAATCCTGTATTCTGGATCTTGTCCCACTACTCCAGGTTTACTCTTTAGTGTCTCCCATGATAGGGAACTACATACCAAGTCCCCATAAGCTATAGCACAAGCATCATTAGATACGCTCGTGTAGCCAACATGACTGGCACTCAGTTCAGCATACATTCATATATAATACCACATCAGTAATATATGGGGGAATTGTTGCTTTTCTGGAATTTACACCCTTGAATAAGACATTGAAAAGCATATAATCTTTTATCATAAAACATTCCATTATATTTTAATTTTATGTTTAAGATTTAGGAAATGCACATACATTCCATGCACAATGAGTTGGTCATGGTGCTTGGAGTAACCTTTTAAGCAAGGTTCTATTTCAGTTGCCAATCAAATGTACCCACAATCAACCAGTAAAATGGATTAGCAAAAGGACAATCTGCATTCATTATAGGCACACGAGTAAAAAATGGCTGAGGAAATATATTGAGATCCAGCACAAGGAATAAACAATAATAAGTTCAAATAAAGACAAGTGAAAAGAATGGGTCACTGAGCTCGTTTTACAGATGAAGTATGGGTCATGCCATTTAGTAGACATAAAATGAGTCACTGACAAAAAAGCTAATGAACCACTCTGTAGATTCATAGATTTTCTATACGATTGAGATGTAAATAAACAATGGCCCCAGGTATGCACGTTAGTGTTGCAAATGTAAGTTACTGTTGGGTAAAATAAAGTGTATGGTATAAGAAAATTTAAAAATAAAGAAAATATGTCACTATAAGAAACTTTTCAAAAATAGAGAAAATGTGTCACTATAAGCAGTAAGTAAAGAAGAGAAAAAAATAAAAATAAATATATTGCTATTCAACCTTAAATATGTTTAGCACCTACGTACTTAAAATGTGACAAGTATGATTTATGTGCATTTGCGCTCCCATGAAATAATTAGTGTTTTAGATCGATTCTGAACAAGCCATATATATCTCTGTTCTACTGATTACTTAAAGGAATCTGCAGTTATGCTGATTGATTGACTCTATAGGAAAAACAGATCATATATGAATCAGTGGTAGCCATTAGGGATATCAAGGATCTCTTCAAAAAGCGATGTTATTATGTAACTTTTTTAAATATATTTGGTGCAAAATCAGTAGATTTTTGTCCTCTTTCACTTAATGGCATCCAGCATCCATAAAGTAATCAAAGTAATTATCAAATATAATCTTGTTTAATTATAAAAACTATCACTGTGGGCTAAAAAATGGACATCAGATATCTGAAAGCTTAGTAGAAATAATACAAAGAATTAGAACAAATGTAAAAAGCCAAAACACCGACAGTGAAACAACATTATATCTTTATGGTTGTAATGGAGCATAAAAGTGTCGTAGCAAGCAGCAATATTAACAAAATAGGAAACAGAAAGAAACAGACTGAATGGGATAGATGCACAAATGCAATTCAAAAAATTATAGCAATAGTGCATTCAATATACAGTACCTAGAAGCAATTATCATTAAAACAGCAAGCCATAAAAGAAACATGTTACCAAAGTACTCTGTGAATGCATGTAATTCTAGTTATAAATCATTATATGTTTTTTAAAAAGGGGGAGGAAATGATCTGTGTTATAAGCAGATATTAGGAAGTGGAATCTAACCCACAGCATGGCATAACAACGTAATAACTGCCATTATAATAACTACTGTTATTATAATGTGATATGGGACAGGGAGTTAAATATATATAATACAAAAACTGAATAATAGAAACAGTGGGATAGGTAATACCCAACAAATAAAAAGAAACAAATAATAAAACAGCCCCACTTCTTATTCTGATGTCAGACCATTCAGCTGAATATGTGTTAGAGAATAAAGTATACATCAACAAAACGTTACATACATGGTGCATTCTTATAACAAAAAATATATATAAATATATAACACACGTGCTCCCCAATAGGTAAAAATATATAAAACAATTTTACCAAATGTATGATTGTAAGAAGAACCCTCTGATCTTCTTAATGTAAATAAAGAAAATACAATCTACAAAAAGAAATGAACATAGAAAGTATATAGTGTAGTAGGTTAAAACACCAAATTTGCTGATTTGAATTCACAAGATGAAATTGGCTTTGAGGAGTTCCAAGAAGCCAATTCACTAGAATCAAAAGAAACTGTACTGAAGAGAGTTGCTTTTTGGATCAATCAGAGCTTCTTAAAAAGAAATTCAAAGAAAAAGGTTACTCCCCTAAGTTTTTAGATCAAGAAATTGATAGATGTAAAAATACTGTTAGGCATGACCTTTTAGTAAATAAAGCTAAAAATAAGAATTCTAATGACAATTTTACTTTAACTTTTATTACCCAATATAATGCTCAAGCTTTTAAAATTAAAAAAATCCTACAGAAACATTGGCCTCTTTTATTGGAAGACGACCTTTTGAGTAAACAAATTCCATCTGCACCTAAAATGATTTTTAAGAGAAGCACTTTTAGATCTAAAACAATAGAAGCTACATCACTGAAAGGCTTTCACAAATGTGGTAGATGCAAAGGATGTAAGTTTTTACCTAAGAAAACACAATATTTTAATAGTCATAAAACAGGAGAATCTTTTAAAATAAATGATTATATTGATTGCAACACAGCTAATGTGGTGTACCTTTTAACTTGTGGATGTGGTATTCAGTACGTAGGGAGAACAAGTAGAGCTCTGAAAGTTAGATTTATGGAACATTGTAATAACACAAAGAAACAATTGACCACCCATTCTGTACCGATACACTGTAACAATTGCCCTGATTTTAAGTTTGATACACTTTTGTGCACGGGTTTAGAAAAGGTCACATTGGATGATAGAGGAGGAGATTTAATTAAGAAATTACGCCAAAGGGAAGGATATTGGATTTTTAATTTAAAAACATTTAGCCCAAAAGGGCTAAATGTCGATTTTGATATGGTGTGTTTTTTATAAAAAAAAAATTATAAAAATATATATATATTTTTAATTAATTAAATCTATTTTTTATAATCTTGTATATACTATTATCATCCAAGTGTGCTTTTCTCTATTAAATTTCACAAATAATATTTTTATATAAGGTATCTTATTGATATTATTTATTGTTGTTTAATATACTATATAAATTGTGTGGAAATTGAATTTAACTTTTCATCGATATTGAAAGTTATTTAAAATTGATGTTTATTTTATCTTCTATCTTTGAAAATGCTTGTATTTATGCTTTTGATGGTTATAATTTTTTTTTTTGTTTTCTTATAATTCTTTACAACTTTTCTTATGTGGATCCGAGAACTTCCTGATTCACGATCGTGGAACGCATATTTGCGTTCCACGTGATACCAGAAGTAACTCCGAGAAAGACCGATATGTAAAAGAGGCTTGGAACTCACAAATTCATTTCAGGTGTTACACCTGGATAGGATTGGCTATGCAGAAGGCGGGAACTTATGGTTTTTGGACTTAAAAGACGGACAGAGAAGACTGCAATACAGACCTTCACTTGCCCCTGAGGAAGTCCAGTTTGGGACGAAACGCGTAGGGCGGAGGGACCACGACAGCACTTTATATTTATCATTATTTATTTTTATTGTTATATTTAACGGTTTTAGGTTGTAATATTCAGTTTTTATGTTATTACTTGCTATGGGAGGAAGGACGCCGAGTATTGTGATAAGCTGCATTTCAACTTCTTTCTTGTGAGTGCAATTCAATAAACATATTGCTTTTTATTATATTGGTGCACTATGGTTTGTGTGTCTCTCCCTTTTTAAGGTGAAACAGAAGACTTCAGCTGTCTGTCAAGTCCAAAGATCGTTATATGCCTATACTGCTCTTTCATCTTGTGAGTGCAATTCAAATCAGTGCATTGTTTGGTGTTTTAACCTGCTACACTAAATACTTTCTATGTTCATTCCTTTTTGTAGATTGTATTTTCTTTATGGTGCCCTTAGCATATCTGCCCATTTCAAGCTCAATAAGTTTGGCTACCTTGGGAATGGCTGTGCTTTCTAATTAGTTTTAGGGTTTTATAAAGCAGAAAATGTTCCCTAATATTTGACTTGAGGGGACGTACTGTACAGTCATTGCATTGCCGAGTATGTAAGTGATGATGATGCTATAGTGCCATAAACACAAATAATCAGGAAAAGGCAACTAAAATAGAAACTAGACAGTCTAGTTCATGTGGTAGGGAAATGTGGCAGCTGAAATGCATTATGGGAAATATAGTTTTGTTAAAAAAATAGGCAAAAGGAGCAATATTTTAATTTTAAAAATGAAACAAAAATAGTGAGAGAGCCCAGTGAATGATACAGAATCTATTTATGAGTGGATTTAACAAATAAAGCAATGGTCCCGTGATTGGAGACTTTGTTGTGACGGTGAAGGAAAGTGGAGTATTGTTGATAAGAACTGCAAAGCCTGTATAAAGCTTCCATTTTAGTGAAAAGACTAAACAATAAAGGAAAGTACAAGGTAAATTTGCTTATGTATGGAGTTATTTTGTCATATAAATAAAGATAAATAAATCAAGTGAATATTAAAAATTGGAGGAAAAGTAGGGTAGGGCGGTATTTAAATGTCGGGTGAGTAGGCATGTAAATAATGACATATAAAACACAATAACAACTTAAAGAATATTGAATAAATATAAATTAAATAAGTTCAAACTATCTGGTAGTATTTAATTCCTCCCTAGTATATTTATGATATTGCCACCTCTCCACAGGTTATCTAACTTTTGACA